AAAAAATCTGTTGAGAGTTGAAATTCGAAATATCTATCGTGATTTTCCATGTGCTTAAATCTTGTAATAGTTAATATAATAAGAACATCTACAATGCATTGTGTCTAGTTTTATCTATGTTGCATGTAAATAAACCCCAATCTTGAATGACATGGATAAAACTACGTAAAATTGATAAAATTCACTCCAATGCAAAGAGACTAGATCTCTACTTGGGTCTAAAATAAACCTAAGGGTAGACCGAGTCTCTTTTTCTGGTTGCCACATCAGCAAGACCCAGTTTACTTTTGTTTGCATTAGAGAATATATCTTTTTAGACTATGTCTATTTCTTAGGTGGCATACAATTTTTTGTGGTTGAACCCAAAGTATTGTGGATGCTCTAACATGTAAACACGAGATTGTAGACAAAATTTCCAAGTTGACAGTTCTGCTATGGAGCTATCGGATGACACCATTTATGGAGTCATCTACATTTATTCACAAATAGTATATTGACACGTGTCCTACAATAAATACACTTTGGACAGATGTCTATACATTAAGTGATAGATAGCTCCATAAGAAAATTATCCGATTGCTCCTTAGAATTTATGACCAAGTTGATATTGGAACCTAATTGAGTTTTGTAATTGAACTTAACCCCACCAAAAATCTTGAGTCCATCTTATAAATTAGAAAGCGACTGTTAATGGCATCATTAATGATAAAGATTAGTGAAATATACGCATAATTCTGTACCTAATCATATTTAACATTTAACAAATTCTTGTATAAACAGCAGAAATTTGTCAAACTAGTTAAACTGCAAACATCATATTCATAACAGCACAAATTTGTGAACTAGTTAAACTTCAAATCGATATGGACTGAGTTTGTTTTATTTTTGTCACATATATAACTATTAAGATTTTAAATTAACTTTTCCTCCATATATGCTTACACAGGATTAAGAAGCTAAGAAAGTGAAAACTTGCATAAGGATACAGACCTTTTGTAACCATCAACAAACAAGTACATAAACTCATTCAAATCTAGGAAAGAAGAATCACGATTATCGACTTTGGTCGGTTGCTTGAATCCTGTGGCGTTTGAAAAACTCTCTGAATCCGTAAGGACTAACGTCATAATTGTACTGCCAAGTCGAACCAAAAGAATAACTTAAAAGAGGTATATCTTACAAAATCACATTTGTAAATGAGTGTGTGTGAAAGCCATTGTTAATAGCTGAGTTCATGACTATTTAACCAACTTTATATGACCTTGTACCTCACAATGTTAAGGCAAAATATAATAAATCCACGAGAATATGTATAACAAAAGTTGGGGTATGGTTGTAAGACTTACAGGTAAAACTTTGACGGAGTATTTTGTGATGCTTGGATCAACAGCCTTTCCTTGATTAGATGCCTGTTTTAAAATACCAGCACAAGCTCGTTTTTACATTGAAAGGCATCACCAAAACATAGCTACACATTAAAATCAGATAAGATTGGATGAAATTCATGGATGTTTTGTCAACATGAAGATATTTAAAGAAAATGAAAAAAATCAAAGCAATCCATTTTTTTTCTAACAGATGAACCTGGACAGGCATGTAATGGTTATCCAAGAGGACTGACAAAACAGAAGGCGTGGTTTTACTATATTTATTCTAATTTTCGCGTGAAATATTCTCTGATTCCAAACTGGAATCACAAAGAATTAAATCCAAATCCCGTATTATACCCGTTTCTAGTAGAATCCGAAAAATGTTTCCTTGGTTTGACAATACTACAATTTAAACACTTACAAAATAGCCCAGCTTACAGAATGAGTTAGCTTAAGCTATTTTCTGCATACACTAATAGAAAATGAATCTCAGCTTCTACTTCTTAGTATATGCAAATATCAGCTTTTGCTTCAGCTCTATTTCACCAATTGAATTCTATGTGTAGGGACTGTGGGGAGCTTTTGATTTCAAAGGTGGGTATTTAAAGGCGTGTCGTGTGAAATTGAAAGGTGACTGGACTGGTCACAGAGGGGTGGTAGTTGTAGATGAGAATTAGTTATTATTATCTTTTTTTCTTTTTGGTGAATATTCCTAAATAAGAACTCCTTGTGAAATTGCTTTTATCCAAACACTTCAGTTTTGGGTTTTCAGTCTTTCACCAGAGGCAATCAACAGCTATAGTTACCAAACTTTGTTCGGAATTGCTATGAAGAGATCCACTGAGAGATAGCATCTCACGAATTTTTTAGCTTTCCTAAGCCAGAAATAAGCAATTACGTATTGAATATTAGTCTATCAAGTAAGTCATCACCTAATTACTATGTCAATTTGGTGGTCCCAATGTATTCGGTTAAAATATCAAAATAAATGATCTTCTAACTGAAGAATCTCTTTTTCTCGATTCGGAAATTCATAACTAAGTACAGTAAAAGTTAATCAAATTAACCTGTTCTGGGCTGTGAAATATTTCTATAAATGGATACTCATGCTTCTGGCGAGTTATGCAGAATCCAGGATACTTTGAACACTCAACCTAAGAAGCCAACACCAGAAAATGAATCACCAAATAAGAAATATCCAGGTAAAGTTACAAGATTGTATAACTCTAAAATTAAGAAATATCCTTACTTCGCATAGAAAAATGTCATGTGCAAAACGAGGAATTTCATTATAGTTCATTGTAAATAGGAACCTTCACTATGCACGCAGAAGAAAACCCAGGCACAAAAAGGTTAAATAATACAGTTGAAAGGCAAAAGATGCAGCAGAACTAATCTGAAGATCATAACAGTTTTCTTGATAATTTTGGATTATTTCAAGTCACATTCCGAGAATCTAGCACAGGATATAAACAACTTACACGCAGAAACTTAACGTGTGGATCAAATTCGGCTGCAGCTTCTTCCAGTACATTGTCGAGGCGTTTGGTAAGGCTATGCCTGTGACCAGTAAAACTCTGAGCTTTGAGTATTCACCAATCATAAAACCGAGTTTGTAAACAAACATAAAGAAAAACTAAAAAAAAAAAAATTAAAAACTCAGCTAACATACTTTACAGTAAATGCGACAACCACCGGAACTCCTTGGTGAAGGAGCTGCACGAACTCACGTTCTGAGGTAAAATGCATAACTTTTGATGGTCCAAGATCCTTTGGGTAACCAGTATAGTACCTTTGTGTTTTACAGACATATTACGTGTTATGTGAAAAGATGGATAATCAATTGACAAGTAGCTCCAACATTACATAACTACAAAACTAATGTTACATACTCATGTGTACACACACACATGCAATATTCCTTATACAGAGTCGTGATAAAGATACGGTTTTATCTAACCAACCACTTCTGAAAATGAAGNCGGCCGGTAATACCGGTAATACCGGATACCGGCCATTGGTATGGTACAATTGCACTCAAAATACCGGATTTACGGTTATATCGGTTTGTACCGGGATCATACCGTAAAAACCGCAAAATACCGGTCCAAAATACCGGCCAGAAAAAAAAAATAAAAAAAAAATAAAAAAAATTGTACATTCGTTGTTCGCCTATCGCTCGGATTACGGAACATACTTGCAGTTCTCACGAAGATTAAGCATGATCTTGTTCAGAAAAGACGATTCCTCCATTTTCCAGAACTCGATAAACAGAACCGACGATTCAGCAAAACCTGCATTTGGATCATTATACATCAAATGGGTATTCTTTCAAAAATAAAAAAAAAAAAGAAAGAAAATGAGCAGACAAAATGTGACAATTCACAACTCCCAAGCAGAAACTCCATAGCCAGAAATGCTTGAAAACATACCAGACAAGGCAAACAACTTAGCTCCGTTATTTAGCATTTACTGTTTCGCCTATCAACACGAAGTAAAATCGATAGAGCAACGAAGAAATTTCTCAAAAAAAACCCAAAACTGAAAAATTGAATTCATCATAGACAACCTAACAGCGAGTGAAATCATGAAAAGGAGAAGATAAGACGGAAAAAGCAAGCCAAGACGAAGGACAGAGTACCAGACGACGGGAGGAGGGGTACGGCTGCGCGCAGGGTGAGATCGGAAAGTGTATTCAATGTTCAGCTTTGGTCTCTTCCTTTCTTGTTGCTGCTATTGAAAAATTAATAGTTAAATTGTTAAACGCGACTTTATTGAAAAATATGAGTAGATGTATACATTTTTTAGTTACTAGTATGCAAATGTATCAAAAATTTATTTTAGAGTAATTGCAATTTTAATCTTGTATATTTCACTATCTTAACTTTTTTGTCCTCTTCGAATTGCGTTTTTTATTTCCGTCTCGTATGTTTACAAAAGGTTACAAAAAGGTCCTTTTCATACATAAGGGACAAAATTTGAACATTTTTTTGCAAAACATAAGACCTTTTTGTAAACATATGGGACGAAAATAAAAAACGCAATTCGAAGAAGATGAAAAAGTTAGGGTTAGGGATGAGCATTTGTTAACCGAACCGCACCGCAAGAGAAGGACAAACCGAACCGATTTTTCGGTTAACAGAACTTAATAAAGGCCAAACATAATTTACACAAATCAAAGTTCAAAAACAGAAATTAAACCAAAGTACTAGGCTAAATTAAACTTAATTACAATAATACACAACATCCATAAACATCTAGGCTTCAATCATAGGTCGCCATTTCAAAATAAATAAAACATAACCATTTTAAATAAAATGATCCAACTCAAGCTCCAGTCAATCTATCATCTATGCAATGCAATGCAATTGCAACCAAAAACCCCTCAGAACAGGGGCAATCCACACCCTGCCACTTGCAAAAAAGTAAAGAAAAAAAAGAAAAAGGAAAACCCCTCAAAAAACAAACAAAGCAGCAAATCCAGGACAGATAAAATTCAACTTTCACCAAAATTCTTATTGAGCAATATTTTCATGGTGAACGATTTAAAGAATTCTTTCACGAGGCAGGTTGTTATTCCGAATCTATCATAGAGTATAAATCGAGAGATGGAGATTACAGATTAGAGAGTTAGCTAACCTAAACGGCGATAGCGGGAACTGAACGGCAAGACCGATGCGGCGAGAGCGGGAATTGAACGGCGAGTTTTAATGGGGAGACTGGTCGGGATATGAGCACGCGGCCTGGAGGGGCGGAACGCGGAAGTGACCGAGTGGGAAATGGGCTTGGGTTGGGTTCGTGATTTTTTATTTCTTAAAGCAGTGATGAATGAAGTGAAGAACGATTTTAAGTAAAATCGTGTAAGACTATGGTACTATATTAACAGTTTGCTATGGAGCCATCGGATGGCTCGGCTTATGAGTCATCCTCAATTATTCACAAATAGGGTATTGACACATGTGCTACAATAAATGCACTTTGGACAGGTGTCAATACATTAAATGATGGATGGGTCCAAAAGAAAATGATCTGATGGTTCGGTTAAAACCGCACTGTTCATACTTAAAACTGAACCGCACCGAAACATTTGCGGTTTTCTAAATTTCAAACTGCACTGCAAACCAAAACATCTAAAAATCTCACCGAACGCATCGGTTCGTTTCGATTTTTGGGTTTCAGTGCGATTTTGCTCACCACTAGTTAGGGTAGTGAAGCATACAAGACTAAAATTACAATTTATTTATTTATTAATGGTAGTCCATTAATAATTTTTTTTTTTTGCAAATAAAATATCTAGATTCATTTAATCAAAGTCATGAACCCGATACACCACGAAAGAAGGAAGAGAAAAAGGATGGCATAGAATCCTTCCACAGGAAAGAACAGGGACGGATCCAGAAATTAAGAGTAGACTGGGCTAGAATTTCAAATACTCATTTTTATAAAAATTACATAATATTTTTTCATCAAATATTTGAACTGATCAACCATTCAAAAATAACAACAAATAAATTATCTACCAAAACCAAAAGTGCAAAATCTAAAAAAAAAATCCACTATAAGGCCATAACAAACAAGATTACAAGAAATGAGAAATCATCCAAATTTCTCTTTTCCTCTACAGAAAATCCCCCGAGCAGTCAAGGACTAAATCATGGATCCTACACACTAATTAAACCTCATTACACCATTTTTTTTCTCCCTTTGCAAGCAAGTGTCACATGAACTTAATAAGACAACTAATCCAACAAAATAGAAAAAAAAATAAAAAAAAAAAGGACCTCTTACTTTAGACCAAGTAAATGTATACGGATATTCCATTTCACTTTTTATGTTATTCAATCCGTATCTAACAAATTTATGTTGTGCAAGAGAGTAGGAAATTGGAACTCAGATTAGTTTTGCATTTTATCATATATTATATTATAATATGTTTTTAAATTAAATTTTTTATTAATGAGAGAACTTTTTTTTCTTTCAAATTTTCTAACTTAATGGAATATACTATGTTTTCAATAAAATAGATANGAGGAATTTACACCCCTTACTATCATATATAATTTATATTACAATTATATACCTATTATATTTTTATTTATAAAATCATATATAATTTATATTACAATTATATACCTATTATATTTTTATTTATAAAATCACTAAATCAAGGTAAAAATATTACAATTATACCTGAGATCTTTAAATGGAATTTAGATCCTTAATTTCGGGAATATTAAATAGAATTTAGATCCTTAATTAACCCAAACCTACAAATCTCAATAGATCTTCTTCCCTCTCCTTTCTGTTCTGAGCAGATCTTCCTCCATCTCCGCTCAACTTTCTGTCTCAACAATGGCGGCTCAAAAGATTTATCTGATCTGCCCTCTCCGCTCAACACATAAACACATGCTGCTTTTTGGGTATTTGTAAACTTTTCATGCAATTTTCTTGGTGCTATCTTTGGATTTCTTTTTAGGCCATCAAAGAGATGCATGTGGCAGAAGCTTTTTGATGAGAGTCTCGGGCTAATCAACACTATCTTTTTAAATGAAGGTGTTATTTATTATATTTGCAGATTGGACGGTAAATAAGAATTGATTTCGAAATTAAATTATGAAGGAGGAGACGAAAGAAAATTAAACTAGAAATATATTATTAATAAACTAGAAATATACTGTTAATAAAAATGTGAAAGATATACTGTTAATAAAACGTGAAAGATATTTTTTTAAACTAGAAATATACTGTTAATAAACTACAAATAGTTATGATCGATCCTTCTCTTTTTTTATTTTTTATAAAAGTTCACGTCCTCGATTTTTCGAGTATATTTTCGGTAAAATCAGAATCATGTACGTTAAAATCACAAAATATACCTCACGTTTATCATACACTGAATATATACTAACATAAACGCAATATATACTTAAATATAATATTTTTCCACGCATCTATTTTATTCTGATGCATTAGTTTGCGGGCGGTTAGTGATGAAAATTTTTTTACGTGTAGATAGGATAGAAAGCAAGTCAGTTATGAATAAAGTATCCTTGTTATTGTACAACTTGAAATCATGCGGAAAAAGGGGATGGAAGTCCACCTTTTTTAGGTAACTGACTTTTTAGTCTTTAATGCAATAAAGAATAGAGAATTAGGTAGAGTTACAATTATTTATTTATGATTGGTATTATTGTAATATTTTCAATTTTGTGTAGGAGATACAAAAATTTCCCAAAAAGAAAGTTAATAGGTGTAAAAAAAAAAAATGGGCCTGGGCTTCAGCCCAGCCAAGGCCTATGTTGAATCCGTCCCTGGGAAAGAATCCATCGCCTCTACAGCCCATTTAGCTATGTTATGAGCAACCACATTATTTGCTCTATCAATGTGACTACAAACACCACAATTCAAAGATAACAAAAGCTCGGTAATATCCTCAAAAACATGCTGGAATGGATTATTTGGGAGTTGGTCAGAAATACCGCAAATGACTAAAAGAGCATCCGTTTTGGTAGCTTGGATCGTGAAGCCCACATCTAGAGTAAACCGAAGTCCAAAATGTAGGGCCAAAGCTTCAGCAGCTGCCGGGGAAAAGGATCCAGATTGTTGAGATGCAAAAGCTGCCCAACACACTCCCTCTGAATCATAAAGCCACCCTCCAATCCAATCGACGAATCGCGTACAGCAACATCACAAAACAAGGTAAGCCCATTTTGACAGTTACCTGGTCCAAGCCAAGCGATCGGTCCCGGGTTAAGTGGTGGTGTAATTGGACCAGCGCATGAGTTCACAAGACTCAACTTATCTAGCCAATTCCGTCCAGCTGCCTAAACCTGTTCCAAACTCTTACCTGCCAAACCGTGTCTTATTCGGTTTTTCTCTTGCCAAATGAGCCATAAATGAATCGAAAACATCGGGAACTCATCTTTCCGAGTACCATCAAGGATATCGGTAAAGATCGAGATATTGTATCCCACCAGCCCGTCATTTTCCACAGAGTTTTAACCCAAACATAGTCAAAGAAGACATGAACATTCGATTCCAAGCTTCGAGCTAAATTTTCAGATGAGGGAAAAGCTAAATTACTCAGTTTCCACAGAAAAATTTTCACTTTTGGAGCAATATTTATTTTCCATAGAGCTTTGCACCACGTCATATGAATATTCGAACAAGATACGTGGGATTCAGTAGGAAGGGATTTAAGTAAGTGATAGCCACTTTTTACCGTATAAGAGCCATGTTTTGAGTGGTGCCAAATAATGCGATCCGCAGAGCGACAAAGACGTAAAGGGATAGAAAGGATCTTCTGGGCATCAATCGGTAAAAAGATGCTATTAATCAAGTTCTCGTTCCAAGTTCCGCTTACCCCAATAAGATCCTTAACTCCATCAATACCAACGATCGGTCTGGAGAAAGGTTTAAAATAGCGGAAGTTCCGCTTACCCCATTAATAATTTGATTGTAAAATAATCTATGTATAATATATAGTAAATCTAATTAATAGTAACAATAGGAAAATAAATGTCATTAATACAAAAGTATGGAATCTTCTGTATACAAAAGTTCTTATTTTTTAATTTTTTTTTTTTTAAATTAGCATTTTGGAATGATAAAAAAAATTAATACATATAAAAGATTTTGATTATAAAATAATTTATGTATAATTGATAATAGACATAGAGTGAGTTAATGTTTGATAAGTAAAGTTAGTTTATAACTTAATATGTGGTTTATAAGTTTTCTGAATTGAAATAAACGTTGTTTGGGACGAGGTTTTTCAAAAAGCTTAATCTTATCCGCAAATTTACTTAAGTAGCTTTTCTAATTCAAGCCAAATTTAATTATATAAAAGTGTTTTTATAAGTGTAGTTCAGGTTCAACATCTCTTTACCAAACACAATCAACAATATATCACAGGGACCCAGATAAAGCCTAAGTGGGGTTTCATCCCAAAACCAATTGATGGAATGAGGAATATCCCATTAGACTTATAAGGTAAGTCTTTTTTTTCATGTATAAACGATGTGAGACAACTCACAAATGATATTCTAACATTATTAGATTAAAATCAAGCCAAATTTTAACTGTTTAAAGGCGTGTTTTATACGTTGTTACAGTAATTTTTTTTAATTTTTTTTTGCTAGTTCAAGCCAAATTTAATTATTTAAAAGTGTTTTAATATATCATTACAATATTTTTCTTTCTTTTATAATAGTTTTGGATGGAAGAAGACTCAATAGCAATTTATAAATAGTATTTGCATTTTGAAATAGAGTCCTCTACTGATGGAATCTTCCTTTCTCCATTACTTTCAGTTCCGTGTTGTTACTTTGATTAGGATTTATCCCTTCCCTTATGTTGTGTATAACTATTGTGCCATGGCTACTAATGTGAAGTATGGTCCTTATTTGTTAGGGACAACTGTGGGAATGATTTATGATCCCAGAAATTTTTGTTGCACTTTACACGTGAGTCCACTCCTTTCCCTTCCTTTCTTTATGTGTGATGTGAGTATATCTGTACATATAAATTTGTAATGATCTAATGAGTAATAAATCGTCAAATGTTGTTGCTTTCTAATCTAACTCATTGTGTATTATCAAAATCAGTAGCCCTACTATAGATAGGTTTCTTCAACTCATATTTGAAGTTTTTTTTTGTTTTTTTGGATGATATTTATTGGTTAGTGTTTTCTATGATCCTTTTGATGCCGTTTTGTATTAATTATTTTTGCCGGAATGCAATTCCTAGGGAAAAATCGATGCTACATGTGGGACCCATATGTTTTTTTTTTATCCTTGATTTCATACACACCTACATGTGTGTGTGTGTGTGATCGTGTAGATCAATGGCGAAATAAAATTTAGGCTAAATTTCATTTCTTCCAATGCGTCAATCCATAATTGAAAGATA